TAGTAATCGATGTAGAAGTAGTGGTGCTAGTACTAGTTGTGGTGGTCGTAACAAGAGTAGTAGTAGGGGGAATAGTAGTAGTAGTCGTAGTAGTAGTAGTAGTAGTAGTAAAAGTAGTAGTAGTAGTAGTAGTAGTAGTAGTCGTAATCGTAGTAGCAGTAGTGGTAGTAGTAAAAGTAGTAGGTGTAGTCTTCGAGGTCGTAGTCGTAGAACAAAAATGAATAGTAGTAGTCGTGGTAGTTGCAGTAGTAGTCGTAGTAGTAGTAGTAGTAGTAGTAGTCGTAGTAGTAGTAGTAGTAGTAGCAGTAGTAGTAATAATAACAGTAGTAAGAAGCGTACTACTAGTAGTATTAGACGTACTAATAGTAAGAGCAGTAGTAGTAGTAGTAGTAGTAGTAGTAGTAGTAGAAGCACTAGTAATAATAGTAGCAGTAGGGATAGTAGTAGTAGTAGTAGTAGTAGTAGTAGTAGTTGTAATAACAGGACAGGTAGTTATAATACGTAATCGTAGTAGTCATCGTGGTAGTAGTAGCTGTAAAACAAAGTGTGGTCCTGGTCGTAGTAGTCATAGTAATAGTGGTAGCCGTAGTAGTAGTAGTAGTAGTAGTAGTAGTAGCAGTAGCAGTAGTAGTAGTAGTAGTAGTAGTAGTAGTAGTAGTAGTCGTAGAAGTAGTAATCGTAGCAATGGTAGTCGTAGTAGTAGCCGTAGTAATAGTAGTGATAGTAGTAGTAATACTAATCGTCGTACTGGTAGTCGTAGTGCTGGTCGTAGAAGTAGTAGTAGCAGCAGTAGTCGTAGTAGTAGTAGTAGTAGTCGTAGTAGTAGTAGTAGTAGTAGTAGTAATAGTAGTAGTAGTAGTTAATCGTCGTAGTAGTAGTCGTAGTAGTCGTAATAATAAAGTTAGTAGTAGTAGTAGTAGTAGTAGTCGTCGTAGTAGTCGTAGTAGTATAGGTAGTAGTAGTAGTAGTAGTAGTAGTAGTAGCCGTCGTAGTAGTAGTAGTAGTAGTAGTAGTAGTAATAGTAGTAGTAGTAGTAGTAGTAGTAGTAGTCGTAGTAGTAGTAGTAGTAGTAGTAGTAGCCGTCGTAGTAGTAGTAGTAGTAGTAGTAGTAGTAGTAGTAGTCGTAGCAGTAGTAGTGGTAGAAGAAGTAATAGTCGGCCGTAGCAGCGGCCGTGGCTATACTAATAAAACTAATACCATATTGCCCTGCCGCGCGTTTTTGATGATGTTGCGAGTCAACATAAGAAATCACAACTTCGATGTGTAACTTCCCCCCCCGCGATACTAAAAAATTCGGCCTTGCCGCCCCTCTTCCCCGACCAAATCTGTATTGGCCGGGGATAGTAAACTGTCAGGTCTTAAAGGGGGAGATACATTATTCTCGGGGGGTGGCGGTAAGCCACAAGCATTGTCCCAAACAAAGGTCCCCACAACTCCTCCTAAGCAGTCGGCACCATCTCAACTATAAGTTTTTCCCCGCCCATTTTCGAATGTCCAACATTGGCCCCTGACTCACATGTTGTATATGGCTGCCTTTTTTGAGCGCCCGAAAGTGGCCCCTAACTCACATTTTCGTTCCGCATGCGCCTTGTTTTTATTCTGATCTCCATGTTACGACGTCGGTCACCAAGTAGTTGGGAGATGCGACCCGGCCATGCAGATGCTGTTGAGACTCTCCCTCGGGATGACATTGTGAGTTGCCAAGGAGGTTTGGGAAGTACTCCGCACTGCACGACGAAAACGGGGGTCTGATCCGGGGGGGTATGATTTGAGCCGTCTTGAATGAAGGGGGCCCAGAACACACAAAAAAATACACACAAATAAAACTATCCCCCATATTTTCCTATGTTTTCTGGGTTTTTGTTTTCCCCCCCCCTTCCCACATTTTCGCATATTTTCCTGGGGATCGCAATTAATTATGTCTCTATGTTTCTTTCCCTCCTGATTGCAGGCTTCCGGGGGGGCTGGGCAAAAGGCCGCCCTGCCATGGCTGCCTCGGGGGGGGTCCACACTTGCTCGTCTGGGAGGCTGGCGGCCCCCTCCCCTCTGCTGTGACCTTCGGAGCGCGCTGCCTCGATGCGATGCCAACCGGGGCCATCAGCGGAAAAACGCAACGTCTCGCGCCTGGGACGACACGACCAGCCGACACCGAGAGCCTCGCGACCCACAGGCCGTGCTGGCCGCCTCGCACCCACCGCCAGTTCGCGTCGCGATGGCGTCGGCGTCGGTTTCTGATACCGCGCGCTCAACCGTGAATCAGCGCGGCTTTCCGACGGCGCGGATCGCTCGGTGTCGGCCGAGTCCCGAGCACCAACGTCGCTCATCTCGCACGCTCGCGCTGGGGTCGCCGCCGCGTCAACGAAGCGCGATCCTTCCCCCTCCTCCTCCTCCTTCTAATCCTCCTCCTCCTCCTCCTTACCATAGGGGGCCAGATCCCTCTGGAAGCCGGCCTGCAGGGGCGGCGTCATCCGCCCCCGCTCCCTTCCTCCGACCCTGGGGTGCGCGCCCAGCCTTGGTGCCAAAACTTGCCGTTCAAGCCCTCCTAAATCTGGCCATCGCTCGGACGTCCATTCCCTGTGTTTTTTTCGGTTTCGTGCGTGGTTTTTTCGCCAAAGGATCAAGGATGCTCCTCGATGGTCTTCGCCGAAGGAAACATGCACACGTCCGAGCGATGCCAAGAAACCAGGAAAGGATGACCCTGGCCTCTCGGAGGGCCTGAGGAATCACGCTCCTCCAGGGCGAAGCGAAAGTCACAAGATTTGTTCTTCATCTTGCGCATCCGACTCCGCCTGCCGCCCTCCTGGCGTGCTTCGGCCTGGAACATAGGTACCCCTGCCACGGGCCTCCTCTTGCTCTTCCCACACCCCCGCGTCCTCCTTCATTTCTGCTTACATTACCTCTTCCTCCTCCTCCTTCCTTTCCTCCTCCTAGTCCTCCCCACTCCTCCTCCTACTCATCCCCCTTTCCCCTATCGGCCCGAGGATTCGGTGTTGGCCAGGAGAGCGTTGAAGGAGCGACGTAAGGTGGTGGTCGTCATCACCAGCTGCACTCTTGCAGTGGATGGCGGACGATAAGCAGCTGCACATGCAGGTCGGCAAGCAACTGCAAGCGAATACGCGGCAGAAACAAATCCGCGCGCTGAACATGCAACACTTCTTCTCTGGACGCCTGAGATGGGTACGGAAACAGGGGTACACTGCCCAACAACAAATGTTGCCCAAAGCCGACAGCGGCCGCTGTTGGGCAGGCGGCTTCATGTCTTCAGTGAACAACGTCCGCGGCGGCGCGGACAACGAGTCCTGTTCAAATTTAACGGGAACTGCTGTCGGGCATCGTACCAATTCTTTCCGTACCAGTTTTGGTCGTCCCGATCTTCTACTTCAGGGACGGCGTGGACGAGCGAGAGCTTGCGCATTCAGGCAAGCCATTGGCGGAACTGAAACAACCTCTGACGAGCCGCCGCCGAACGCAGTCGACGCGGAAAGGCAGTTCGCGGGGCAGCGCGGAACCGATGACAAGGACGAGTACGAGCTGAGCATATCCGAGGGCGAGCCCCTGTGGGACGAGTGCTTGTTGGAATCCCTCGCCAATGACCAAGCAAGTGGTGAAGATCCAGAGGACGACCCCGAATGGAAACCTGGAGCGGGTGGCAACCTCAACAGTACCGGTAAAGAAATATTGGCTCAACAAGAAAACTACTTCGGGACGACGGGTTTTGGGTGTGTCACCCCCTGTGACGACATCCACGGCATCTTTCTGTGCGTGAAGGAGAATCCCACACTGGACAGCCTCTCCGAAGGGGACGGTGTCCAGATACAGATCATGCAGACTGCTAGCGGCAAGGGCTGCAACGTGAACGTGTCCGAGTTGCGGGTGGAAGGATGTGAAGGTTCGTCTGGTTGGAGGGCGCACGAGGGTGCAATGCCTCCAGGGGCGAGAGGCCGCAAAGCGCAAGGCCCAACCACTGTCGCAGTGACGCCAACTACCTCCACGAATGCATTGCCTATAGTGAAGGGGCCCCAGGACACACAAATAAATACACACAAATAAAAATATCCCGTATATTTTCTGGGTTTTTGTCTTCGCCTCCACTTCCCCTATTTTTCAATATTTTCTGGGAGATCGACGATTAATTGTGTCTGTATGTTTTTTTCCCTCCTGATATAGTGCCTCCCCCGCCGGGCGCTCCACCCTGGCGTGCACCCAGGCCACGCCGCTCGAGAGAGAGAGAGAGAGAGAGCCCGCCCACGGAGCTGTGCGCCTTGCTGAACGCAGCGGGCGCCGTCAATGGCACGCGCGAGGCCTGCGCACGCGACGGAAAGGTGCTCCGAGGACGCTCCGGGCTGCAGTCAGCCCGTGTAACCAAGACCTGCGAGCAGGAGGCAAGGGCCTTGGAAGTAGCGGAAGCGGCCAAGGACGGGCCGAATGGGGAGGATGCAGGTGCCACCCAGGAAAATGGCTGATCCTGACTGCGCGGGTTGGCTGTGCGGTGCCTTTCGGGCTTCTGCTTGCCGGACCTCGGAGTCTCGAGGCCCCTCCCTCCCTCCTCCGCGCATGGCTCGCGGCGCCGAGGTGGGGACGGGACGAGAGATGGCCGCGAGGCGGCTTCGCACCGACCTCCTCCCCTTGCCACCGCCAGGGAGGAGGAGGAGGAGGAGGAGGAGGAGGAGGAGGAGGAGGAGGAGGAGGAGGAGGAGGAGGAGGATTCGCCCCGCCCTCCTCCTCCTCTCCCTCCTCTTTCTCCTCCTCCTTCTGCTCCTCCTCCTCCTCCTCCTCCTCCTCCTCCTCCTCCTCCTCCTCCTCCTCCTCCTCCTTCTCATCCCCCGCCTCCTCCTCCTCGTCCTCCTCCTCCTCGTCCTTCTCCTCCTCCTCGTCCTTCTCCTCCTCCTCGTCCTCCTCCTCCTCCTCCTCCTCCTCCCGCTCCTACTCCTCCTGTCCCTCCTGCTCCACATCCCCATCCTCCTCCTCCTTCCTCCTGCGCGACGGGGCTCGGGGCGCAC